TACTGTGGAGATCTGTAAATAAACATATACACAACCTAAAACATGTATTTTTACATTTGTGTTGTGTAAAATCATATCCACAAAAATACAGTGTGATTTGCAAATACACACAATTTAACCTGTACAAAGATCTTTTTATTTCACATGCCAATTTGCAGGTCACTTGGCATTTGTAACTTCCTTTTTACACATTTGTGGAATTTTGGAGAAGGGTCCAGCTGCAGCCCACAGACAAACGTGACGGAAGTTGACGGAAGTTGAACTTCCATATATGGTTTGTCCCAGAAGCCACCACGCACAAAACGTGATGACGTTTATCTTGACCGCTCGGCCCACGCATAGTTGCTTCAGCAATAGTTGTAATCAGTGTATGTTAGGTGTTAATATTTACTATACTATAATTATATTATTAATAAAGTAAATATTTATACTATAATTCCAGCAAATATTTATTTATAATAGCCTAATGATAATGTATATTTTATTTCTTCCAAAGTGATTTTAAGTTTCACAAACCAAGCGTATTCTGTAATGTTACATCACGAGCCAGATGTGTCTCGATTTAGGTTAAAAGTTAACATTACTGAGAATTTCTTGACAGAATAACAGCGGTACGAACATTATCAGCTGTTGCTGGACACGTCTGCTGTGTTGGCTGCTGTGGTCTGTGTGACTGGGCCTGGGGGAGCTAACCAGAGCTAGCTAGCTAACTATTCCTGACAGACCCCCGATGTATATTCCTCTTACCCTAACCATCACAGGGTGTGCCTAAAGTTATTGATTATGTGAATGTCGACCGGTTAAGCCTATCTGCTGCGCCGCTGTAGGGTTAACCATTGTGTTGCTGTGCAGCCTCCAGTAACATTACTGCAGCTATATAACACCGGTCGGCACTCGCGGAGCTTCTCAACTCCGAAAACGTTTGAACACATTTTCGATTTGCCGCCAATTTTCGGACAACTGCCGATATTTGAAATCTATATTGTTGATTTTTCGCCTAAAAACTTCTCAGAAGTGTATTTAAAGTTCTGTTGTTGGCTTCTAAAGAATAAAACAGTTTGCATTTGGATCTATCATGTACGTAAGCTGAGATGAACGTCATCACATGCGCGTTGTCTTCTGGGACAAATCATATTTGGAAGTTCAACTTCCGTCAACTTCCGTCACGTTTGTCTGCGGTCTGCAGCTGGATATACTTGGAATTTTGTTCACTGTCCTTCATAACTGAGATCTGTAAACAGAGATGTGTAAGTTTGACAGTAATTTACTAGCTACACTAGCAGGTGGCAACAGCGACATCCTCCCTCATGAATTGAAAGGATATTCACAGCACCAGAGCCCTCTGCACGGCACTAGCTAGTTTCATCCTCGTCTGTAGAGACAACAAGGAAAAGGACTGTAGCCTTGTTTCAAACCAGCAGTGGAAAAACAAAGTGGAGAATCTTCTTTTAACTCAACGCTCGTGATTCAGGATCGGGTTCACCCTTGTCACCTCAAGGTAAGTCTGGTGAGCAGTTTGCTAACTTCGTGTCTCCTGTTGTGAGTTAGCTGTGTAATGTTAGACCACACATAACAAGCTTATATTAAATCATTTAGTTCACCTGGAGAGATTATATTATTTTCACATTAATTGGTTGTTCCCTCTACATCTGGAGTTAGCATACCAATCGCTTATATAGCCTCCATTTACCGCAGTCCGGTGATCAGTTAACATTTAGGTATAACTATAGTGATAAAATCAGTAGGCTACGCTGGTTTGACAGATCAGTGCACAATGATCATTATCTTAGTGCCAGTAAACCATGATGTCACCAGTGTTGGGCAGTAACGTGTTACTGTAATAAAATTACTTTTTTACTGAACACACCATCCTTGATGTGAATCCACGACTGTGCGGCAGCTCAGCGGACCGGACTTTGTTGTTCATGTACACTGTTAGCCAAAAACTAAATGAAGAATGGAGAATGAGGGAGAGAGATGTTCTTTCCACAGCTGTAAGTAGCTTACTGCCATTATTACTGCCAAATCAAGCCAGAAATCTTGGTGTAGTCATGGACTCAGACCTGAATTTGAGAAGCCATATTAAGACAATTACAAAGTCAGCCTACTATCACCTGGTCTGAGGGTGGCGTGTCCTGTAAAGCGGTAAGTGCCTTGTTTGCCTGTTTGCTACAATTTATCGTGGCCCTTTTTTAATGGTGTGTGTTTTCACATCACAGCCGGACCGAGCTACAGCCGTGTGCATGCTGCTGTCGAGGCTGCCGGGTGCCACAGTTATCTAAGAGGCTAATACTCCCGCTCTTGCTGTTCTGGATATCGGTATAAAACTTTGCTGTATATTGATACAGTATCTGGATATGACTGTCCTGGATGCACAGAACTGGTTTGGAGCAATATGTTTAAATGTTTGAATATCCAGACATTGGCTCTGTAAATATTGGTTTTAACTGGATACATATTGCATGTGGGTTTTTGTTCTTTTCTTTGTGTTTGATTTTGATTCTTTAATTACGCATGCAGGTTTGTTGACTTGAATGATGTTTGTGGGGGGTTTTTTGTTGTTTTTTTCTCTAATACGCATTACATACTTTTTTTTTAATAGAGCAGGTGTTGCTATTTTAATATAAAAAAATAAAATTGTATTTTTTATAATTGTCTCTGCCCCCTAATTTTTAATAAAATGATCTGTGTGCTTTAAAGGTCTTGGGCCAATCCCAAGTGGCGTTCTCAAGTGTCATAGGCCGCTCATTCTGCCACACATCTTCAGTCGACTCGACTACTGTAACGGTGTCTTTACAGGGCTCCCAAAGAAATCCATCAGACAGCTGTAGCTGATTCAGAACGCTGCTGCTCGAGTCCTCACTAAGACCAAAAAGGTGGATCACATCACTCCAGTTCTGAGGTCTTTACATTGGCTTCCTGTATGTTAGTTTATAAAGCACTAAATGGTTTAGGGCCAAAATACATTTCTGACCTCCTGCTTCGTTATGAACCATCCAGACCTCTCAGGTCGTCTGGGGCAGGTTTGCTTTCTGTCCCCAGAGTCAAAACTAACATGGAGAAGCAGCATTCAGTTATAATGCTCCGTATATCTGGAACAAACTCCCAGATAACAGCAGGTCTGCTGAAACTGTCAGATCTTTTAAATTAAGACTGAAGACTTCTTTTTAACATTGCTTTTAAATTTTACAGTGAGAAATTAGTAGGTAATTGAGTGAAAAGATAATGAGTGTGAGATTGAGCAGGAAATGGTCTTAAATCTCGCGCCCGAGTGATTTGCAGGAACCTCTGTCCATCTGTAATCGCGCATGGGTCCAGAGTATAACTGGATCAAAGTGGCCTGCTGACAGACATGTCCTGTTTTCTCTGTAGTGTCCGAGTGTTTTTGGAGTTTCAGTGGACCCAAAGATTGCTGTGGACCCGAGTACAGACTAGCTAGAGAGTAGATTATGTGTACTTCTCTGTTTATTCTCAAAAATTGTAATTGTAACTCAATTATTTGCTCCCTCTTTTAACCCTGATTGTAACATTGTAACTTTTATTATATTTTATGTTGCTTTTAAACTTTTTTTATATTTCCTTGTTGCTTTTATGTTTTATGTAAAGCCCTTTGAATTACCTTGTTGTTTAAATGTACTATACAAATGAACTTGCCTTGCCTAGTGTGACTGATGACTGCGACCATAGGTGTTGTGCCTACCATTACACTATCATGTCTGAATTGGCAATCAAACACAATGATGGGACACTCAGAAAGGAAAGACAATCCCCCATTCATTGTATTTCTGGCGTGTGTTTATGTATAGTTTTGGGGCAACAATGGAGCTCTACGGCACAGCGGACATAAGATATATCAGGCTTCGGATACCCCCACAATACTATCTAGTAGGATACATTTATTGTTGGTTTAGGCCTTTTCACAGGATTTGTTTACAATAAGAAAAATATAGAATATAACTAGACTTATGTATAAATGTTTTGCTTTTGGTTCAGGCTGCAGTTTGCTTGATATCTGTAAGCTCATACTTTAAGATGTTGTAGCCTATTTGGATAAGATTTTACAGCTAGTTGTGTTTTTGAATGCACCGGTTGACATCATTGTACAGTTTTAAGAGTTTAAGCCTGATGGGGTTCTGAAACGAATCTCAGAACTATTTTTCAGCCTAACAGGATACATTTTCCTCAGGATCAAGTGCCATATATTAAGCTTCTCCCATATTTCTCAAATTGTTATCTATACCTATAGATTATATTTCAGTACTGTATATGCTGTTAGTTTATAGATGTTTTATAATCATATGCAAATATTTTCACTAACTTAAGATTGCCATATTGTGAAACACACGGAGAAGAAAATATGTCACTACCAGTGGCAGAAAACTTCATTAATGTAAATTAGTCACATGTGGTCAATACTTGATCCACTTAATAAGGTCAGTGGTACTGATGAAGTATATAAATCTATCCATCATAACATCAAACTAAAAGTTGGTTCCTCAGCGATCACTCCAATTATGCATTTGACAGCATTTATATTAGATAATATGTGCATCCAGAGTTGGTGGGAGGAAACATTTTATGATACAACGCCTTTATCGACAAGACAACATCATTTTCCTGTGTCATCCAAGCCACTGTTTTCTGATGTTACACTACAGTTAAAGTTTGTTTATGTTTAGGCACAAAAACAATCGTGGAAAAAAGAGAGCACCACTCCATGGTTTAACAGTTTATTTAACCTCAGAGAAAACTGTTTACATAAAAATGAAAATATATGACCATCAAAGAAGACATTTGAGATTTCACATAATATGACAGTATAGTATACTGTGGATGTGTGTATTTATTCCTATTTTCTCTTGAAAAGATATAGATAGGAAAACAAAATACACATTTTGAATTATAGAAGGACGGACGATTAATAAAAGATCCACACTTTAAGAGAAAGAAAATATCACAACAACCTCAGAGAATAACAAACAGTCACTGTGATCTGCATCTAGTGATCATTCAGTGATTCAGAAAAAGGAGACAGAAAAACTTGTTATTGGCCACATCCTCAGTAATCTTGTGGTACTGTGCGACTAAATACAGTGTGGCCACTTTTCCCCAAAAGCCATTCAATAAACCCAAAGAAGATATGTAGTGTAGACTTCTTCAAAAGTATTACACCACTAAACACAACGTGAGTGAATGAATAAAACATCTGACACCAGTGAGCAGAGTGGGTTTCAACACTTAGAACAGATGAAATTAAACTTGTTATTATCCGGCTTTGTGAACCACTGATGTTGTCTACCTCTGTCCATGGCTCCAGACATGCCACAGTCATCAGTCTTTGCTCCTGGGGCCCAGTTTGTATAGTTGACAACATCATTGCTGACCCAGAACCAGAAATCCAGAGTGCAGGTGTAGCGCAGTCCCAGCCAGACGAAATCAGTTGAGGCGTTCTTGGCTCTCTCTTGGACCCATCTCTGCTGGTGAGGGTTAGTGATGGAGACCAGGTCACTGTAGTTCTCTCTGCAGTAATATAAGGCCTCCTCCCAGGTCTTATTTTCTTTGATCAGGATCACTTTATCTGTCATGGAAGAAACTGAGACAAACACAGGATCATACCAGCAGCTTTGTTCAGTTAGTTGTTGGGAACACTGGGATCCAATATGGATCTTCAATACTGAAATAAAATGTTTCAGGTTTAAGTGACTGCTTGTGTGTTTGGGGCTAATGACAAATATCTTTAAATATGTTAAGAACTTCTTAAGAAAGTGACATTTTATTTTAAAGGAAGCCATGTCATGCTCAATAATAAATAAAATGATCAATTAACCAATACTTTTGAAAGAAAGTAAAAAAAAACAGATGTAGCTTGTGTACATGTAGCTGTGACACAACCAACACAAAAAGACTGTGTTTCAACAAAATAAAGTATAAATACTGTAGATTCAGACGGATTTTCCAACTGATTCCAGTTCAGCTCCTATAAGAGAAAACAGTTGAGACAGACGTTTGCAAAACTCACCGTCATAGCAGAAGAAGGGTTTTGTTTCATTGCAGTCATCAGAGCTCCATTTTCCAGATCCATTTAACTCAGTCATGGCACATTCTTACTGCCTGGCTTATTCAGATCCCAGTTTCTGAAAGAGAAACTGCTCCCATCTGACCACATCCAGGAGTCTCTGAACAGGCCGATCCACACCCACATATCTTTGTTTACAGACTGGATGTCTACAGCGAGTTTTTGTGACATGTCTTGAAACTGCTTTAGTCCACTGACCAGGTCTGTGTAACGCTCCCTACAGTATTCTTGAGCCGCTGACCACTTCTTCTTCTCTTTAATCAGATGGTATTTGTCTGTTGCATTATTTTCTGTGGAGTAAACAGGCAAACTTGCATGACCTTATAGTGTACATGTACGTCTTTTGAGCAAATACAGATTTTTAGCTTTGATTTTTCTCCGTGGATGGTAATGTTGGTTGAGACTGAAATATCTCAAAAACAATGAAATAGATGGCCTTGAAATTTTGTACAGGGATTTATGGTCATCACAGGATATATTGCAATAACTTTGATGATCCTCTGACTCTTCATCTTGCTCCATCATCAGCTCAACTTTTTTTTTTCATCAGTTCAGTATTTTGGTTTACGACTAAAAACATGTAAAACTAATGACATTCCTTTCATCCTAAGCTGTGCTTTGTGTTTAATGCTAATTATTAAATCTAACATGCTAAACTTAGATGGTAAACATGGTGAACATTATATCTGCTTATTATCAGCATGTTAGTATTGAAAATGTCAAAGTGTCAGGTGTTAGCGTGCTGACTTTAGCGTGTAGCCCATAGCACTGTAGTGCCTACAGCTTCTCAGAGCCACTCTTATTGTTGTAAGTAAATGAAGAAATGAGATATGTCACATCTGAAGATAATGTTATATGATCAAAATATTAAATTTAGACAGTAGGGATAACACATATTCTCACCATCATAACAGATGAAATAACTCTCACATTCACAAGGCCCATCTCTCCAATTGCTATCCTCCCGTATAAACACACAGTTCTCTACTCCTCCAATATCATTCGGTTCTCCCGAGGTCCAATTTGTCTCACTTTCATTGAACTCCACTCCTGGCATAGACCAGTGCCACGTCCTGATGGATTGTGTTTGGTTGTACAGCCCAATCCAGGCTTCTCCTTGCTGCACTGTAGTGTCACTGAGTCTCTTCATGTCTGCCATGTTAGACACTGTGGCCAGGTCAATATATTTTCTCTCTGCAATACTTCTGGGCTTCATACCAGGTCTTCTTCTCTCCAACAAAGTGATACTCATAGAGATGACATGCGAAGAAGGACCACTGACCTAAAAACAAAGGACATACTGTAGTGACTGAGCTGACAGCAAAAAATCTAAATCCTGATTCACACCTACTACTTACTGTCACAACTCTGGACGTTTATCCAGCTTTTCCCTGCCCCCTGCCTCTTCCCCCTTGTATATGTGTGTTTGCATGTGTTGTAGGCACGGCTAACCTCTCCAGACACCTGGTTCATCTCCACATCTGACTTCAATCAGCTCATCAACCCTCAGGTCAAATACTCCTGCCACTTGTCACCAGATTGTCTCTGTGGTTCAGTGACTCGGTCTTGGACGATACTAATTCAGAGAACCTTCTCACTTAAACCTCTCCCTCCGTGTCTGTGTCTGCTTCAGGGTCCAGTTTTGTGATTTTACTTTTAATTTGATGAAAGAGTGAGCTGCTCAAATGTTAAACGAATGCATATTAGGTTGGTCAAATAATGTTTAGCTAAATAAATGGTAAATGATCCACTTACCCATCAGAATGAGCAGAAACAGACTCCACTGCATCTTTGCTCTGTTAGAGGAAACTGATATTTTAGTGTGTAGAGAACCAAACACAATGATTTTACCAAATTGTGTCAGTTTAAAGAAAATACATGTGAACACTTAACTGTATGTCCAGTTAAAGTAAATAAATGAATAAATCCTTTGTCTCTGAACAGCAGTTTGATAAGGAAGCAGAATAGAGGCAACTATGCAAACTGAGTTCAGATTCAGATTATTCATTATTGTCCTCAGTGGAGGAAAGTTGTTTTCACAGTCTGTACAAAGAGCACCTTCAACATGAATACAACACACAAAATACCCATAGTACACATATGCAAATAATGTAAACATCATTAACTTGTCAGTGCAGTACAAAACTTTTTCAAAAGCGTGACTTTTTGTAGAGCAGCTGTCTGTATCTACGGCCAGGTGGGAGAAGGGTGAAGCATGAGTTGAGAGGGTGGCTGGGATTTTGTACTATGGTAGTTTCTCTGCGAGCAGGGCAGGATTAATGAGGGCTGGCAGGTTGGGAGTGTGAAGACCTATTATTGTCTAAGACCTATTAATATCAGTACAAACAGTGGTTAACTGTGAAATATCTTTTTGTAGCCCATGAAAATGTCTTTCAGTAAAATATAAATAATATAACACATCGGGCTGGGCCAATAACAAAAACACCGGTACAATATAAGGCAATACAACAATTCTGGCATATTTTGTTTCTGTCTGGAGACATTTAATGTTCTGATTTTACATGTACTGCCATAATTTCTGTTATTTTCCGTCAACCTTATAAGATACTGCTACTATTAAAGGCATTATGTATCAGGAGAGGGTGCGACAATAAATAAACCCCCAATAGAATAACACATAATTTAATTGTTCATTATACCTTATATAAGCCTAACGAAATAATTAGAATTAGTGTCTAGTGTCTACACCACAAAACTCACAAAAAATGGAATTTAAAAAATCGAGTGTCTTTTGTTTGAGTCTAGGTTTAATTGAATTTTTATATATTTTTTTTAGAATAACACATCACCTAATTAAAAAATACAGATATCTATTTATTAATTTTCACATTATTTCATTTATACATTTATTTTCAAAGCATGCTGGAGACAGTAGGTAATGTTTTTCCAGACCTGAGTAGTGCTCCACCAAAAAGCCCCAAAAACCTGAACCTGAGAGGTAAAATCCAGGGCAAGAAAAAGTCCTGTAGACTCACAAAGCTGTGGGCGCACAGCTATTGAAGGATTATTGTATTTATCTGTCTTGTCCTGTTACAGTGTCCACCTTTTGTTAAAAATACTGAACATTGCACACAATTAAGGTTTTTAAGAAATCATGTTATTATAAAACTGTGAAATATACTGCAGAGATACAATATTGTGCTTCCACCTCTGCACAAACAATAAACGATATATTAAAATTAAACAACAGCATCATAACTCACATCTTCTGAGTCCTCGCAGCAGCTTCACTCTGGTGTCTCTCCTCATGTGCTGATGAAGACAACTGTCCAATATTGACCAGGGAGGTGCTCTCTTGTAGCCCCTAATGTCATTTGAATAATGAAAAACACAAGTCTAAGCTGTCTTTCATAGTCAGGACAGGATCTACTGATGGCCAGAACATAATTTACATAATGTAAATTTACATCATGAGTAAACAAAACACACTTCCCTGTTGACTGTCCAACAAACAGAAAGAAAGGTCTCGTTCCAAAACATCCACTAACAAGCAGAATAAATTTAAATCATGTTTTCTGCTTTGAATATACATATTTTTGCATTGTCAAAAGTTGTATTACATTTATTTTCATTTCTTGTATTCATACTCAAAAACATTGTAAACAATTGACTCATTTAAAGTTTATTTATCTTTTGATTAAAGCAAAACAGTTTTCCAGTTAAAGTCCATTTATTTGACAATGAATGGGTGTTTGGCTTCGGGTGTTCAGTATATTTGTACAAGTTTGATCCAAAGTACTAGACGTCTAAATGGCTCAGTAACTGTTCACATTGTTACTGTAAATTCTGCAATGTTTTATTGTGATTATTTATATTATCTATGTAAATTTTACACATTTCCTAGTTTGCTAATAATAGCATGTTCACTTACATTTGTGTTTAAATACAAGGTTCATGGTGGCAAATTCAGCTTAATAAATAATATATCTACAGATACAGAACAAAGTAAACACCTTAACCAAGTAGTTTCTTCCAAACTCTGATCTTTCCCCAGTTTAACTAACTACACTTGATTGTTAACTAAACCAAAGAACCGTCAGCATATGAATCATTTTTCTAACACATATGAATATTCAAAGGTGACACAACAAACAACTTATTTTGTCATTTTGTTTCGTGGAGTAGGACACATTGTTCAACATATCAGGTGGCTGCTTCTTCACACAGCTAAAATACAGGTTCTGGTTATCAGATCTCCTAATGTTTTAAGTGTGTACACTCTCAATATTATTTTCTGAGACACAGCGTTTCAAAGTGCAGGTAACACTGTGTGTGTGCAGAGAATAAGTTTGTATTTTTTGTTCTCCTCTCAGACAGTATATTTAATGTTTACAAGTCTAGACAAAACTAGAAGAAGAGTTGTGTTATGTACAAACTGGCTAACCAAACCAAACAAACTGGTTAATCTCTTGTTAAAATGCAGAACCACTTTACATCAATAATACTATCTAAGTAAATTTTTATCAACAGTCCTCCACTGAGGAAAATGAGGAAAATGTTATTGAGCAGCCGATAAGTGCCCATGCACTTTATTTGTTGGCAATTTTTAATACGTGTCTAGGATTAAAAGACGGGGGGGGCCCCAGGGTATCCGTAACTTACACTTGCGAAATCTTTGCACTCACATCTTTTGTTACTGTATTAGAACTACACTTATGTCAACAACCAGTGAAGAAGCCACGATGTCAACAAATAAAAAGCAACAAAAAAAACTACGTTCTTCCATTTCTCCTCTGTTGAAGTTACTGTAATGTTACATGGGGTTTGGAAGCACAAAAAAAGTGGGTGCATCCTTCTCCAAGATTTTTATAGATCTCTCACTCTCTCTCTCTCTCTCGATAGATAGATAGATAGATAGATAGATAGAGATATATATACATAGTTTGTTTTAAAAATTTCAAACTAATTTGGATGTTTTCAAAAGCTCATAATAAACCTGCAGCAGTTTAATGTTTTTTTCCCTTACTGTACCGAAAATAAACCGAACTGTGACTTCAA